TACAAAAACCTTCATAAACCTGTGATTCATAGCTCTGCCTACAAAAACCTTCATAAATCTGTGATTCATGGCTCCGCCTACAAAAACCTTCATAAGACTGTGATTCATGGCTCCGCCTACAGAAACCTTCATAAATCTGTGATTCATAGCTCCGCCTACAAAAAACCTTCATAAATCTGTGATACATAGCTCCGCCTACAAAAACCTTCATAAATCTGTGATTCATTGCTCCGCCTACAAAAACCTTCACAAATCTGTGATTCATAGCTCCGCCTACAAAACCTTCACAAATCTGTGATTCATAGCTCCGCCTACAAAAACCTTCACAAATCTGTGATTCATAGCNGGTCTGTATTTACCCTCAGATCACAACTGAACAATAGTTTTACTCCTTTGTTTTATTTTCTTATTATTTTCTTCTTTAACAGCACATTTAATGTCCATCTAACCATGTCTGAGTCTTGTCTGGTCCCATCATTAGCTCCTGTAGGTCAGTCACGTGACTCCAGCTTCCATGTGGTTTTTACTGGTTTCAGCTTCATTAACTGGGTGCTTTATGTTCGTAATGTTAGTCTGCTGTAGTAACCTGTCAGACTGCACCACTTCCTGTTTGATTTATATTTTAATGAGTTCTTTTAGAGGAGACATCATACAGTAACTAACAACTGACAGCTTGTTGTGTGACACAAACTGTCAGAAGCTACAAGTCACCACTGTTCACGTGTAACACTATCAGAGTAACATTAAAGCCACAACACAAGTGTCTGTGTGGCTAAAGTTAGCAGGGAAGCTATCGTTAGCTAGCCGACATTAGCTCGTTTTATTACCGTAAGTTTCCATGATGAACAAACATTATGAGTCCAAATATTACAACATTAAGATGACCTACAACAAGAGCCGTCAGAGGTCTCAGCACACACATGTAACACAATAACAACACACTTATTCTTACCGCTTCAGACACGTCCGGGCAGCGCGACGGAACGGGGAAGCGTCCCTGGTGACGTCACACGTAGTCATGACGCAAAGGCCTTCATAAACCTGTGATTCATAGCTCCGCCTACAAAAACCTTCACAAATCTGTGATTCATGGCTCCGCCTACAAAAACCTTCATAAGTCTGTGATTCATAGCTCCGCCTACAAAACCTTCACAAATCTGTGATTCATAGCTCCGCCTACAAAACCTTCACAAATCTGTGATTCATGGCTCC